ATTCAGTGCTCGGACCATTGAAAAACCAAGCCTGTGTGGTGTACTTAGACGACATCCTGGTCGTTGGCAGGACGGAGGATGAACACCTTCGCAATTTGGACGAAGTACTACACAGACTCTATGCAGCAGGGTTTCGTTTGAACAAAGAGAAATGCCAGTTTGGGGTGTCCAAGATTTCGTACCTGGGACATTATATATCTCCTGTCGGCATTCAGCCACGTACTCCCGGAGTGAATAGCTGCCGTGTCGCAGTATCCCACACCAACCTGCTTGAAGCAGGCTCAGTCGTTTCTGGGTATGGCGTCGTACTTGCGAAAGTTTATTCCCCACTTCGCTTCGATCGCAGCTCCCTTGAGCGGTCTTCTTAAAAAAGACGCGCGGTTTGAATGGGGCGTCTCAAAAGAAAATGCTTTTCGAGCTATAAAACGAAAGCTCACTTGTTGCCCCATACTAAGTCACTTCAATGAAGACTGGTCCACCGAAGTGCACACTGATGCCAGCCAAGTCGGCCTAGGAGCTGTGTTAGTGCAGCGTGAGCCAGATGGCGTGGAACACGTGGTCGCTTATGCCAACCGAAAACTATCAGACACCGAGCGCCACTATCACTCCAACGAGCTTGAATGTCTTGCAGTGGTATGGAGCGTCGATGATAAGTTTCGACATTATCTTTTCGGGCGTAAATTCACTGTTGTGACTGATAATGCTGCTATAGCATGGATGTTCTCCAAGCAGCAACTTAAGCACAAATTAGCCCGGTGGATAATCACGCTGCAAGAATACGATTTTGACGTGCGCCACCGCGCCGGGGGGCTAAACAGCGTCGCCGATGCACTCTCACGGAACCCCCTTGACTGCTTGCAACAAACCAGGCAAACCCACATTTTTTCGCCCAAATGGATATATCCCGAGCCCAACAGGAGGATGAAAATTTGGCCTCCATTATTGCATCTATCACTGACAAGGGAAATCACAGTACTTTTGTGGTGCGCAATGCCGCATTGTACCGGCGTCACTGGCGAGCGGACCGATCCGAAGAACGTTACCTCCTGGTGATCCCGAAATCCCACAGGTCAGAAATATTACGAGCCATTCACGACTCCCCAGAAGGCGGACACGCCGGCCAACGAGCCGCGCTCCAGAAACTACAAGAACGTTTTTGGTGGCCGAAGATGCAAAGTATATAGCGTCCGTTGTTATGTCGCCAGTTGCAAAATCTGCCAGCAGTTTAAGCGACTGCCTGGGTGTCAACCTGAATTACTAACACCAATCCAGATACCCGAAACAATTTTCCACACGATTGGCATTGATTACATGGGACCTCTACCCACCACCACTGCGGGAAATCGTTACGTCATTGTAGCAGTAGACTACCTGTCAAAATACGTGGAAGTGGAGGCCGTGCCATCTCTTGCATCCACTTACCTAATCGACTTCCTCAAGCACCGATTTGAATGGAGACATGGCTTACCAAAAAAGTTAATATCTGATCGGGCTACAACGTTTCGTAGCGGGGAACTGAAAAAGTACCTTTGCACGGCAGGCGTGCAGCACCACTTCGCATCCGCGTTTCATCCTCAAGCAAACGGCCTTACCGAGAGAACCAACCAGAGCATCCAGGCACGACTCGCTCCATATACGAAGGCAGGGAAAAGAGGAGAGGCCGACTGGGACGTCCACCTTCCGTCAGCCGCTTTTGCGATTAACACGGCACTGCAGACGTCTACCGGGGAAACGCCCTACGAAATTGTTTATGGGAAACTACCACAGCTGAAAGCGGTCCTCAGTCTGGATGCTCCCATTATAATTCCACGTGCCAACGATCGCAAAGCGGCCTGTCAGAAGATCCGAACTAAGGCGATCAAGAAAGCCACCCACGCACAAGAAAATCAAAAGCGCCACTATGACAGCCGCCGTAGACCCGCTCCTGCTTACAACATCGGTGACGAGGTCTGGGTGCAAAGGGGCACCAGCGGGCCTGGCAAGAAGCTACTTCCTAAGTTCGATGGGCTATTCTTAATTACTCAGCTTGTAGGAGAAAATACCTGGCGTGTGAACACCTCAGATGCGAACTTCAGTCTCGATAAACGCAAAAGAAACAACTTTGCTGTGCATGTGTCGCGCTTGAAAAAAGCAGTCGGACCGCTGCAGGTGCAATGAACTGTAATTTCTTTTTTTTTTTTTTGCTTTGTCGGGTTCCGCAGTGTGACCGAATGTAACGAAGAGCGACGTGGCAGCTGTGGGCCATGGGCTGGAAAGCGAGGAAGAAGAGGCAGAATAAGAACAGCTAGCCCAGGATCGGGTGTTGTCTCTTGTTCTCTGTCTCGCTCATCTCTCTCTCTCTCTCTCTCTCTATATATATATATATATATATATATATATATATATATATATATATATATATATATATATATATATATATATATATATATATATATATATATATATATATATATATATATATATATATATATATATATATATATATATACCTTCAATTTCTCCTTACCCCCATCCCTTGTGAGCTACTGTTGAGGTGTCGCACCAGATGCAGACAGTTTCGGGGCTCACTTTTCTCTTCTTTTCCTTTTTATAACCACATAAGCTTCTAAGCTACCCCGCAGTTTGACCCACAGGACCAGGGAGAAGGCGAAAGACTGTGTTTTTTTGCACGATTAAAACCCATTTAGGAGTCGCGCCAGTTAGTTTTCATTGAACTTGATTTGCCCTTTACAGCTCAAAATACAACTTTGACAGCAAAGAAGCACACACGTGCAGCGCTGCTTAGTTCTCTCTCTCACAGCCAGGATGAGCTCTCACAGAGATGTACACACGTACATACACTCTAAAAAGTTTTCCAGAGTAACTACGCAGTTAACAAGAAAATGGCTAGCTCTTTGCTATTTGATCTAAAAGACGAAATGTGCGCAAAAGATTTGACACGGCACCGCAAGGAGGGGCACTTTTCTCTTTGTGGCGTAAAGTACCCATTCTTTGAGTAACTGCAGGAATGTTCACGCCGTGTGCAAACGACTCATCGGTGCCTACGCAAGCCTGTTTTATTAATCCCAATTGGCTACAGAGCGTGGTGGGGTGTACAGTGGTCAGCGAACACGCATGCTGACTGAATGGTCATGAGTTAATTGATTGATATATGGGGTTTAAGAGCAAACCTCACAAGCGCGAAAATGCACGCGACAGCGACGAGCGATGCTATGAGCGACGAAACAGGGCGTTCGCGCGACGTGTCGCGTGCTCGTTTTCGCGTGATCGCTCGGTTCTCCAGATTTGGAAACCGTCGCTCATCGCCCGGAAGTGCTGGGCTCAAGCAGCCAATAGCGAAAAACCGGAAAAGACTACACAGGCGTTTTGCTTCGCCGATGCGCCACGGATCCACTGCACGTGACCCTGCCCGAGTCACGTGTGCGCAACAAGAAATAACGCAATGCTTACGCATGTGCATATAAAAAAAAAAAACGCTGCAAGGCATTCATAAACACTTTCCGTTCCATTACACAGCAATATATCTTATTTTTAAATTGCATACTGCTCACTTCACGGTTTTCTTGGTGCGAGTAGACGGCCCCATGCCAGTAACAGTGGAGTTCGCTCGCCGAAGCCGTCGCGTGAGTGAGGTTTGCCTGCTCTAGTGACTGATCGCGCGAAGACGATCTACGTCGCATCGCTCGTCGCATTGCTCGTCGCTGTCGCGTGCATTTTCGCGCTTATGAGGTTTGGGACCACCACACGATTATGAGAGACGCTGTAGTGGAAGGCTCCGAATATTTCGACCCCATGGGGTTCTTTAACGTACACACAAGTATGAGCACACGGGCCTAAAGCATTTTCGCCTACAACAAAAATGCTGCCATCGAAAAGCTCCATCGAAAAGGTAGGTTGTTTGCCCCCCCCCCCCCCCCCTCGCGAAAGAGTTAGTATACGCCACTGCATGGTCACCATGGCCGCCATCTTAGGGCCCCTAGCCCGTCGACATGCTCCGTGAGCTCAAACGGTGACATCAGATTAGTGCAGGCACCCCTTACATCCCTTTTTGTTTCTACTTGGCGCGGCTCACGAACAGAAGAAAATGGGGAGAGCCCAAAAAAACCCGAGGACCGAACGACTGTGTGTCCTCCTCTGCACTGACACACTGATTAGATCTCCTGGTTAACCTCCCTGCCTTCCCTTTTCCCGTTTTCTATCTCTCGCTAATGAGATAATAAGTCATGGTTTACAAAATCTTAGATTGCGATAATAAGATAGTATGTCATGGTTGACGCCATCTTTGGACACCCAGGGCTATGAACCTGTCTGTGACGTCGCGTGAAAACTGCGAGCGTAGTTGATTAACTTTATCTAGAGTGAACTATAACCAATATGATAACTATAGTTCACTATAACCATAACCATAACCCCATCGCAACAGGAACAACGGCTGCAGAGCGTCCGGCTACGGCCATGGCTGCAAGTCGTCCTCACCTGGGCAGGAATCTCTGTGGGCTGAAAGGGCCGTTCCTCGTGCGGGGCCTTCATGTTCTTGGTCTTCGGGCATTATTTGAGCTGATTGTAATTAAGTTAGCACGGTTACGATGTAGTAGTAGCGCTGGTAGTAGTACCGTAGATCTGTAGCACCAAACAAAAATGAAATTATAATACCACCTACCATAGACTTTTCTGCAATAACACCTCTGTGCAACCTACCAATGCATTTTGGTTTACATTAACGGCGGCAGGTAGCGCGACAATCACTATGTGAAAATGTTGAGTGGGAAATTTATTGTTAAATAGTGCACATAATTTTATTCAAGGGCGTTTCAACACAAGCTAATAGCATCAAGTGTATTGAAGTTTATGAAATATTAGCCCTATTTACTACGGCTAAACTTTTAAATGAAATTTTGCTGTTTAGCAGCGCCACACCTTGTCTAAGTATTTGGCTTTGGCTACAATTTGACTTCAGCGCTTAACGGTCTCTGGCTTAACGTAAGTGTTCTAGTACACTCTAACGTAAGCGAAGCCAGGTGCTTAGCGTAGCTAGGGAAGCTGGTAGCGGTCCGTGTGGTGCCTGTTGTAATGTAAACATAAAACTCGTGCTCTCACTCGCCCTAGGCAATCGCAATGATTTGTCCACTTCGTGGATAGCGTATGTTTCTAGGTGAAGGGCCGCACTCCTCCATGCTGAGTGGTTGTGAAAGTAGTTAGCCCTTCCCATGTTTTTCCAGCACTCGGCTGAAAATTGTGGGCCAAGCTGAGGAAACGTGAGTGTTGGCACTCTTTAGTCAATTTTCACTTTTTTTTGGCAAGATTTCAACGTGGTACGAACTTTGTACATACAGACTTTCGTGACTAATCGGCCGCTTGCCTGTAACTGCAGCGCACTCCGCTGGCGATGTCCACCGCGGCTGCAGCTGGCGCGGCCGCGGCGCCTGGCCAGAATAACCAGCAAGGATCTTCCGGTGGCGAGCCCAACCGCCAGAACAACTTGCAGAGGATCGCGCAGAAAAAGGCGCAGGTCAAGAGTTGGCCGCTTAATAAAAAGCTTGAGAAGCTTGCTATCTATTCGTCGTGCAAGGTTCGTTGTTTCGGTTACCGTGTTGCTTGCTACAAGTGCACATCTGGAAATACTGTTTTGTTTATTGCCGCGCATCCCTGTCTTTTCGTCGTGCGCGCATGGCTTCCCGATAACAGTGAGAAGATTATGTGTTCAGCTAGCTCATAGTTAGCTCTTGAACTGCCTGCATTCTGAGCCCCAGTTGTAGGTATCCGTAAGAGTGCGTAGCTAGATGAAAAGACTACTCATAAGGTTGTACTAGCACACGTTGATAAGGTTGTGATATTCATAATTACAACGTTAAGTGTGGCTAGATTGCTAGGTAGAATAAGATCATGCAGGTGCATGACTTTGTAAATCATCAAGCTTCTCAGGCTGCAATTTATAGTATTATATAGCCGCTTAATGTGGTGTCATTTTATTTGATTAAAAGTGAAACAAATCGTATTGGGGCTTGCATGGTTATTGTTGTGTCTATGTGATGCGATATAAGAACATTCCTGTGTGTTTTAGCAAATGTGCTCTGCATCATGCTCTGTGCTACATGTTATTTGTCTGCAAGTGAAAAAACTTGCACCCCAAAGTACATTTATTATATCGCATACACATAACATGTATTCTCAACTGTGCCATCTACTTAGGCTTTACTGCATTTGATTACGGGCTGCCTCGTATAATTACTTTAATGTGAAATAACTTGCTGTATGTATTACTCAGTGTTTGAGCTTTGGAGGTTTATGTTTGAATTTGATGTATTGAAACATATGGTTTGGACGCAGTTGGAACTTATTAATGAATGAAAAAACTTTATTTCAGTCCTTATTAAAGTGAACTTATTAAAGTGATACTTTTTTCCTTTTTTTTTATTCGCCAGGCTGATGACTGCAAGTGCAACGGTTGGAAGAATCCCAACCCTCCACAGACACCACAGCGCCCAGAAGGACCACAGCCCCTGGCTAATCTAAATGACCCATGTCGTAGCTGCAGTCACATATTGGGTAAGTGGTCTGGTGCAGGGCCTGTGTAGTTGTGCGTAAACTAAATTGGGAAGATCTCAGGGGCGAAGCTTCTTATGGGGTGGCTTGTACCCGAGTGCGTAACCACCGGTGCCAAATACCCGAGAGAGCGGTCCTTAGAGTGTCCGCTGGATGGTGGTACTTGCATATGATGAATACATGATGAAAAGATGTGAGACGACAATACTTGGAGTGTTCACTAGATAGACGGACGGACTGATGAGCGCACGGACGAACAGACAGACAAGGGGCGGACCTATGGACGGACAGGCAGAGAGACGGCTGAACGAACAGATGCACGGACAGATGAACAGATAGGCAAACTGATGGACACACTTGCGGTCACATGGATAGACAGACGCATGGACGGAAGCAAGAACAAATGCATGGACGTACTGACAAATGCTTCGCCCCACCAATCATCATTCACTCAGTGGATATGTTGCGATTTTTTTTTCTTCTTTTAGTACACATGAAACTGTTGCTGTAGAGTGCTCACATATAGTGGCACTCAATATATGAGATGCGACACGGTTGAAGGGGCCACAAGCCTGAACTGTAGCACGGGCACACGTAACACTAATTTTGCAAATACGCCTAGTCGAAGCAGTGCTTGCATCACTAATTGGCGTGACTTAGTTACCACTGCTTGGGCTGCGGGCATCATGTTGCAATGCATATTGGGTGTGACGGTAGATTTGGCTCACCGCCCAGCTATAGCACACCCAGTTGCAAATTTGAGGCACTATTCAGAACTACAGCCTATTTTATAATGTGCATTCTGCTGGATTCAGGTTTTGATTCTATTGGATTGAGATTTCGATGGTGACTTTCATGATGCAAGTTTTTCGTGTGCATTGCAGGTGATGCTGTATTACAATCAAGGTTTTGATCTAATGAACATCACCAGATTGTGCCAAGAACAGCAATGTTTTTAGCTTTGAAAGTCAGCATTTGAGATGCTACTTAAATGTGCCTTTTTCCATTCTTAGTCAAAGTAGATACATTTGAACAGGAAGCATTATAAAAATGTGTGTTTAGAACATTATAATCTCGTGCTTTCGAGAGCTAGAAAACGAAACATGGAGGTGAAAGGTTTTGCAGAAACATTTGTTTGCACAGTTGAGCATTCATGTGTTTCAGTTTGTAGTAATCCTGCACACATTAAGAAACTGAATTTGATCGCGTACATTGCTATGGTGCTTAGTTGCTCACAGAGGCAGCTATGTAAAATACAACTGAAATGACTGAGAACACCATGCATTGTCAATCTAATAATGAACTTTCTTTGCAGGGGCACATGTATCTCACCTTGAAAATGCTCCCGACGAAGAGCTCAACAGGCTTCTTGGGATAGTCGTTGATGTTGAAAACATGTTCATGTGTGTTCATAGAGAGGAGGATGCAGACACAAAACAAGTATACTACTATTTATTCAAGGTCAGTGCTTTCATTTGTTGAATAAGTTATAACTTCAGCTCCAAGTTTGATGTTCACTTACAAGCTTTAAGTTTACCTTGATATGATAATAGATAGCCAGTTATGGTATACCACACATACATATATTGTCATGACCCCTGAATGCTTGTGTGTCTTACCAAGGCTCTATGACACCTTGCAACATTGAATGACTTTTCAATCCAAAATAATGTTGTATTTCATGTAGGAGACTTGTATACTTGGGCTTTCAATGTTGTTGGGGGGGGGGGAGGGGTCATTCTGGGCTGCATGGTGTGGACTTGCATTGGATCAAATTAATGAAGTACCATAAGTGAAGGTAGAGTAAACACACTGCAAGATAGCTTTCAGCACGGACCACAAACTGGAAGCTACGTGCTTTGCTTAATTTTGAGCATATTTGGCATTTTATTGATGTTACTTTAGTACAGCCTGCATGAACAACTATTTCTTGTGTTGCAGCTTTTGCGAAAAAGCATCCTTCTAATGACACGGCCCACTGTAGAAGGCCCCTTGGGAACCCCACCTTTTGAGAAACCGAGCATCGCTAAGGTGACTAAATTTCTTATGGTTGCAGATACATGTGCCGTACTTCTTTCAACTATTCTCATATCTAGCAAGCGTAAACCAACGGCTGTGACCTGACATGCAGTAAAACATTTCTCGAACAGGCAGTGATTAACTTCGTGATGTACAAGTTTGGCCACCTGTCCCAGAAAGAGTGGCAGACCATGTACGACCTCGCCAAGATGTTTCTGCACTGCCTCAACCACTGGAAACTGGAGACACCATCAGCTAGGAAGCAGCAGCGGCAGCACTCGTCGAATGAAGATGCGGCTGCATACAAGATAAATTATACCAGGTTAGTTAATGCAGAGCTTTTTTTCTTTTTGGCACTTTCATTAGCATCGTCAAACATTTTAATTCCTCGAGGACGAAATGTTCTGGCAACGGCCTACCATCACTGTCACGCTGGTAATCCTTGCAGTTTAACCATTTCGCTCGTGCACTGTAAACATTGTGTCAAGTGTTGACTAAACTGGTGGCACCTAAACTAGTCTAGAAGCTGCAATCACTCGAGACTGCGCAATTTTAGGAAGTACTTCAGTGAACTTTCATCGCATTTGGTGCTTTGATACGCTTGATGCTAGGTGTTAATAATTTGCTTTGGTTTGGCGACACGCCACGGTTATCATGCTGGTCCTCCTCACTTTGTGATGAGAAAATTATAAACAGGGGACGGGTGCTGGAGCCGACGTTCCAACAAGTGGATTTGCTTTTTTTTTTTTTGAGGCTGCAACTGCTGCTTGAAAACAAAATACAGGTCCACTTGTTGAGGACATCGGCTCCAGTACCCAACCCAGCTTATGAATTTCTCTTGCAAGCTTCCATCTTTCTCTTCTTGCCTTTCATTTCGGTTCTTTTACTCGGTGTTATTATAAACACTTTGCCGACTGCTATGTTGCTGTATTGAACCTGTTATCAGAAAGTCGCCCACTGTAGAAGCCCACTGTAGAAGACTGGTGCTAAGCTGATCCGTTAGTATGGGATGACAGTGCTGCGTTATTCCTGTTCTAGGTGGTTGTGCTTCTGCCACGTGCCGGCATTCTGCGATAGCTTGCCCCATTCAGAGACAACCATCATCTTCGGTCGTACGCTACTGCGCTCTGTGTTCCAGACAATGCGGCGTCAATTGCTGGACAAGTTTCGAGCCGAAAAGGACAAAATGCCGCCAGAGAAGAGGACTCTTGTGCTCACTCATTTCCCACGGTAAGTGTGTTATTTGTGGTAACTAGCTCTGGGAAACAGCTTACCTGATACTGCTACCAGTAGCTTTCCTTGTGTTATGTCGAGTTTTTGCTGAACCCAATGAGATGAACTGATAGATGGGCCGATGAGCAGCTTGTGGCCACTAGAGACATAATACACTCTCTGTTGCTGTTTTCAGCCCTTATGATAAATGTGCTTCATGCTGAGAATCCATTCATAGTGGAAATTCGTGACCCTAGCATAATTAAATTGTTATCATTTCATGCTTTCCCTATAGAGCAATCTTGCAGTCATCCTTTACTTTCATTCATCTGTCCCCTCCTGTTCATAGAAGCAAAGACCTCAGACAGGATAATTTTCTTCTCATTTACTTGTTGCATTTTTTGCAATGTCTTTAGCCAACTCGATTTTAAGGTTGTAACACTAGACAAGCAAGTAAGTCTTTATATTACTCCTCCCTCCGGCAAAAACTGTATTCTTAAATCTCATGGTAAGTAGTCTAGAGTGGGAAGTAGTCTAAATTTTCTTCCGATTTTTCATGCTGTCTAATGAAAGATGTACCAAACTCTCGTGTTTGTTGTTTGTACAATTGCAGATGAACACATTTGTAAGAGACATGCACCTGGGGAAATTTTTGTTTTTTATATGAAGTGTATCTTATGAGCAGGGTATTATGTATGCATTTTCTTATCAACCCCAATTTTAATGTAGGCACACTGGTGTCTCAGATACTTAACTGTCTCATTGCTGCTTCAACAAAAAAGAAGGGTTCAGCTGTGTACGATTTGCAGCACGTCACAGGTGTCTGTTCACCCAAAGTAACTCAAAAGAAGCATTGTGTACATGAAGGCATATTGCGGCACCTTATTAAAACTAAGGTTCCCTTTTTTTAACTGCTCCCAGGTTTCTGTCAGTGCTTGAGGAAGAAGTTTATGGAAACAATTCCCCCATATGGGATCCTGACTTCAAGCAAACCCCTCTGAACTCTTCTACTAACACGTCCGTTGATAGGGGTGAGTTTTCTGATGGTTGATGTTTACATAAGCATTAGCTCGACTGTAAAATTACAAAATGTGCTTGAGTGCAAAAGATCATTTAAATTTTGCATAATGATGAGCATAAGATTATGTGTGTGTACATAATTTGATCATTGCAAGCATACTGAGTGACAGTTTTGTGAGAAAAAAAGAACTCATGTGAATCATTACTTTTACTTTAACAAGAAGAGGGCATGACATAAATTTTGGTATCATTACTATCGTATTTTTTGTAAGTCAGGCCTTTCTAAGGGTCATTAAGCGATGTCGCATAAAATTCTGGAGGCGTATAGTATACAGTTTGCTAAAAGCACAGGCACTGAGTACTTACCATATTTTTTTAGCTACTCAGTGCTTGTATAGTTAGCACGCTCTCTTATGTTGATGTAAACATTATATGCTTGCTCAATTTGACCTCTGGTAATTTAAACTAGTAATGTATATTCTGGTCGAAGTAATGGAAGCAAAGTACACCAACTGCTATTTCGCTGTGATGTGAACTGTGGACGTAGTTGCTGTGTGTACTTTCTTTAGCGTGTTCTCACTGAATATCTGCAGCCATAACAAGCAATGGAACCACTCATGCCAGAACTGTTGAGAAGCTGTCAGCTGCAAATTCACCCAGCTCGGCTACGGAAAATGGCACCGCCTTCAGCATGAGCCCTGGTGCGCATGCTGCCAACCGTTCATCAAAGTCCATCAGCACTTCTGATTCTTCAGGGTGAGATGTCTGTGTGACGTGTTTTGGTTTTTGTTATAATAGCTGGTATGGCTTCAGCTACCAGCACTGCCAGTATGCACACTTTTGCACCACACCTTTGGGGATAGTATTTCATTGGCTTCAACCAATGTGCTTCAGCTCAGATTGTGAGAGCTGATTGTAGTAAAGTTGCAACTGTTCGCAGTGTGCATTAATTCAAATCAAGTTTGCCAGTTTCGTGTATAATAAACCGACGTGAGCTTTTTTTCCTCCGAAATGCTTAAAGAATTTTCCAGTCGCTTGTCGCATTTCTTGGGCCTATTTTTATTTTTCCATCAAAACCTTATGATAATCACGTTCACCAATAGCATAGTCAAAGACCTTGAGTGTGAAATTAGGGAAGGGGCCACTGGATTTCGCCAGTTGATAGCCCATTTTTTCCAGCGTGTGTGTATAATAATTGCACACGGGCAATGTAGTTATGAGCACCCGCACGATCACCACTGTCAACAAGCTTCACCGCAATAATTCTGAGCTCTGTATCAGCTTGTAGGAAGCAACAGTTAACGACTGGTTTTTCTTCTTTTCTCTTTTTGTTGTTTCGCGGTGAAGCTCCCAATTTCTTAGGTTTGTCGAGGCCAATAGGCTAAGAATAATATTGAAAAACAAGTTGTGTGGTTCACGTACGCAGAAACACATAATTGTTGAGGGCTGCAGTCAACGAGGTGGAGTTGGTGGTTATCAAAGAGTGCCAAGAGTGGGAAGACTGTGCAAAAACTAAAGATTAGCAAGCTCCTCAAATGTGCTCAAAATTAGTCTATGAGACGGACAAGGAGGCAGGGCACGAATCATACTGGACAGTCTAGCCAGCATGTATTGAAGTGAACCTTTTACATTTTCAGGTGAAAAGCGGCTGAATGAGGAAAACCGTGTTCCAGAGCCTAAAAGACGCAAGATTGAAGGTAAGCGCTGTGTATTGTCTGGTGACTCGACTTTCATTTGCAGTTATATCACTGTAGTGTATTTGGTATTGTCAGCCTTTCCTTGACCCTCCACCTTACCTCTTTTGTGAGCAGTGTCCATGTGAATAGTTGCTGTTTTTATTTAGGATTTTAATTACCATAATCACCTTTCCTATATTGAGAAAGTAGTTTTAGATTGTTAGTGTGTGCCTAGTGCATATCACCTCCTGCACAAATTTATTTGTGTTATGTTCGTTGTTTGAAGAGTCTCTTTTACTCTAATTTGTATGAATACACTTATTTTGTGGCTGATTACTGGTTTATGCAAATAGCAGAGCATACTATAATTAGTAATGATAGTTTTTTGCTACAAGGTTTCATATTGTGAACGTTTTCGCATGTAACCATTTCACTATGCACTTCATTCGTGTGGCCATAATTTTTGTCTTCATTTTTGTAGGAGACATTCCAGAAGAGGTGCTGACCCAATTGATTGCTACTATCACTGATCCAAAAGAAATGGTTGGGCCAGAGGTAAGCCTCATTGTTAATACCTCGTCTCAATATCCACCCATGAAGCATATTTTATGCTGTTTTTTATTGTCTATACACATTTCACAGGTGAAAGCGCTCGTAATTTGTATACATTTGGGTTAAAGTCCTTGACGACTTCACATGTCAGTGGGAACCCACTTACGTTTGGGTTTCCTGGCCAGGTCAGAAAATGCTGCTGGTCAGTAGCCCGAGGATTCTGAGAAAATGCTAGCTAACATGACAATGAAGCTACGAGGCCTGGAATTCACATTAAATTTTCAAAGTCAGCTAGAATCGCTCTTTCTTCTATACAATGAACGCCATATGTTCAATTGACCCCACCATGAACCAAAAGTCTATGGCCGTTGGCTGATTTGAACATTGTGAGCTGCTCATCATTGATCGTGTCTGCAGTGGGATGTCGCCACATGTTTGCACTTCTGTTCTGCCTGGAAGGAAGGCAGTGTTAGAGGGAAAAAAAAAAATACAAGGAAAGGAAGAAAGAAAGGGCTCAAAGTTATGATACGTGCTGACAAAGTTGATGTAGTTATGTTCTTGCTCCCTTGTCATCCCCTTTCTCCACATGTAGATTTCAGTGCTCTCTCTGGTGCGAAAGCATTGAAGCAGTCTGACAGATCTCTTTAACTCCACTTGTAATAGACGTATTCTAAAGATTATTGTGTCAGTTTATTCGTGAGGCAGCAAACTTCAATGAAGCCATTCTACTGATTACCGTGAAACCTTGTTAATAGGTACCTGCTGGGAATGAGGCATAACTATGTGCTGATATGGTAGTGTGCTTTAAGACCGAACCCCATAAAGACGAAAATGCACGCGACAGCGACGAGCAATGCCATGAGCGAACAAAACAGGGCGTTCGCGCGATGTGTGGTAGTTTTCACGCGATTGCTCGGTTTCCCAGATTTGGAAACCGTCGCCCATCGCTTGGAGGTGCTGTGCTCAAGGTGCCGGAACAGGATGTGACATACTGCCGGTCCTCTCCATGTACCACCTCCTCTCATGCTTCCTCTCCGTATGAGTCACACGTGCACTACGAAGAAATAGCGTAATGTTCATACACGTGCACATAAAAAAAAGGGCTGCAAGGCAATAATAAACACCTTCCGCTTCCATTACGCAACAATAGATTTTATTTTTACTTTGCATACCGCTCACTATGCAGTTTTCTTGGTGCAAGCAACGGTAGAATTCGCTCGCCGAAGCCGTCGCGTGAATGAGGTTTGCGTGCGCAAGCGACTGTTCGCGCAAAGGCAATCAACAGTCGCTCTCGCAAGCATTTTCACGGTTATGGGGTTTGGCTCTGAAGCAGCATGTATAAATTTGCATTCTGCTCAGCATGTGCCATCACCACCAAGAAAGAAGCAAATACAGTTCCACAAAAAATATTGCCTCAATATACACTTCAACACCTTTTCTTTCATGTTGTCAAGGTGCAGAAAGGATATTGGCTCTGTCATAACCATCTGATTGCATGCGGTGGCATACCGAAGGAGCATTTCAAAGCTATGGTAGGGTCCGAGATATGCAGCGACTGAAATAGCAACAGAATGCAGCAGTATCGGCTTTCTGCATTGCATGTGTACATGTCTGTACTGTGATCTGCCACTAAGAAAAAACTGACATAGTTTCATTGAAACACAGTATGGCCACGTGGAGCGAATCGTTCCCAGCTAGTTTCGTGCAGAGCATCGCCTACTAAGCTCGCACCGTCACTGCCGGGCTGCTTGCTGCACAGTACGTACACGTTTGCTGTGTGAGTGTTCTCGTACTCACACCTCTTAAGACTGTGCACAGATGTGAGTTCTATTAGCTAGTTGGGTTATCGCAGCTGTGACGAGCTTCCTGCAAGCAATATGTATTTGGAATCTCTGTGATGCCGCAGCAGTCCTAGCAGCAGGTGGAGACGCGTTTTAGTGGCCGCCTAATAAAAATGTGCAGCGTAGTTACAACAGTGGTACGTTTGCTGTACCTGTATGCACGCACATGGAGCGACAGTGTCGATGCAGTGAGGTTTTTTGGCACCCATCACGCACGACTCTCAACTCAGCACGTACATCAAGGTGCCTTCATTTTTGCAAAGCAGCACAAACTTGAACCTGCATGTTGAGGCTACACTGATCGGCAGCTCGGGGTGCTTAGGTTCTTGCAGCATATCAAAAGCCTGCAGTAGGCTTAAAGTATCGATGAGCCACATGCATGAGATATCTGAAAGTTGATAAGCCATACCGGTGCGTTCGTCAGCCACCACCATTTCGTCTCTATTCTTTCTCAATGCTTATCTGCAGATGCGTCGCCAGAAGCACTTGGAATTCGAAGGAATCATTGATCACACAATCTCTGATATCCTAGAAAAGATAGAAGACCCTTTGCACACATTTTGGCGTCGGGAAGTTCAGCGGTGCATTTAGTTTAATGCACAAAAACTTACTGCAGTATGCAGGGTACACACTAACCAGTAGGCATAGGACGAACCACTCTAGCTTAAAGGGGTAGTGCCACCATATCTGTGGCCTTTGCATTCTTTGCTGCAAAGGTTTCTTACAGCTCCAGAAAGCACGATACATGCTCCAAGGTTAATTTATTCTCGCTGAATAAGTTAATATCGTTTTTTCTATGTGAATAATTTTCGGTTTTGGTTTCTGGGTGCCGAATTGGGCTGTGATATATCAGTGTAGGAGGCTTTGTCCCGTGACGATATAAATATGTGACGCACGTCGTGCTGATTATGGTCTGCTCTCGCACAGGCAAACACAGCCCCACTCTTTGACATAAGAGGCAGGAAGCGTTGCGACTAAGGGGGGGAGGCACAAAGTCAGCCCCGTACATCATTGACATAATAGGGAGGGGCGGTACACTGCGATGTACTTTTGTCCCCCCTGAAGGGGAAACTTGTGCACGCCTACGCTCACTACAGATCTAGCATAACGTCACAACCTTCGTTGCCCTTCCTACAGAGCTCACAACAGCTTTGGAAGCGCTTGCGGTGGGCTTCGATCAGGAGAACGAGCATTAGGTACACTTTGGAGGTGAATTAAAATATGTTCTAAAAGTTTGCTGTGTCTGACCATTCATGTGGTGTGTCCTAGCATATAGAGGAAACCCACACTAGGCTTGTTTTAGCCTTGGAATTTGATGGCACCATCCGCTTTAAGTGGTCGGTGAATCCATTAGGCGCTAGTGCAGCTTGGCTGGGAATTCGTTGCAATTACGTTTCAACTCTTAGCATGTTTAAAATGAGTAAATAATAATGAGGATTGACTGTCCTTAGGACAAGTATTGCAGGACACATTGCAAGTGCCATTATGAAGCTGTGTCGCTTTTACTATGCAGCAATTACAGTGAAAGCACTTGAATGATCTTCTTAGCTTTTATATCACTGCAATTTGAACTCTTTCAGGTTGCTTCACTGCTGCAAAGCCTTTGCCTTTATGTCTGTGCTCTTTCGCAGAACAATGCATTCTCAGAGCTAGCGGCGCGGGATGAAGCAGCGCGGGCTGAGGAGCGGCGCGGGGTGATAGAGTTCCACCTGGTGGCCAACTCGTTAAGCCGACGGGTGGACCAGCAGTCCCTGGTATGGCTGGTGGGGCTGCAAAATGTCTTCTCTCACCAGCTGCCAAGGATGCCCAAGGAGTACATCACCAGGCTCGTCTTTGACCCGTGAGAACTCGTTTCAGCCCTGTTGCTCTTCTTTTGAGTCTATAATGTTAGTGTTGTTTAGCCAATCATTTAAAGACTAATAGGAGATGAAAATCGCTCATGTCTTCTGCTATTAGATATAACCTTAGCCGTGTAATGCCATAACCATGTTAAGTTAGAGAAAAATTGTGAGAAAACACTCATTATTTTCGCTCTTCTTGTAGAATTCATTTCAAGAAAAAAAAAGTAAAATCTCCTTTGAAGCATAACTTAATCAGTACTAATTAAAATATTGATTTACAATGATTAATATGTATAACTCAATTAAACTTCATCACAACGTGTTAAATATGTGGCGACTGCTTTTCATGAAACATTTACATGCTTATAACTTTATTTTTCTGAGTCATTAAATTGAATATATAAAAGATGATGTAATGGGGGTTATACAGGGCAAATAAAACCAGCTGACAGGGAAGCAGAGGAAGGTATAGACGACATTATTTGAACATTTTTAATGTTTTGTAGCATGTACAATAGAAGTGTGAAGGAATTGGAGTGCACGAAATGTCAACATGCTGGTGGTGTGGACCAAACCTAAAACATTTAGATGACGCTTCCAATGCTCTACCAAAGCTCTAGTGGCAGTCGTCCTCTCATCCACTTTATAAGGTATTTTTGTGCATGCAAACCTGTAAGGAAGAGTGTGCAAATATTCAAACTTTTGTATATTTTCCTAATAATGATTGCTGTTTGATTCAATTCACACCACAACTTTACTATTATAACTTCCAGAAGGTAAATATGCAGTCAGCGCCCAAGTTTTTAGACTGCCTAGGAACTGGGAAATCGTCCCAAAATATTGAAAAATTGGGCTGTCCAAAAACCAAGTTTGTGCGTTTTTATTCCGCCCAGGCGCTCAAATCGTCAGAGCCACATCTGAAATAGCTTTAATGCGCCTCCCAGTAGACTTCTCAGGAATTTTAGTGTACACTCAAGCTCTCGCGAGTACGTTTAGTACCTGCTGCGGACCCTGATTTACTGCGTATATTCGCGTCTCTGGATGAATGCTACTGGGAATACATTACGGCTCTCTTGCATGGAGGGTATGGAAAGGATCGTGCAGAACACAGACTGGTATGGAAAAGTGGGCAGCTCATCTCGGCTTTTGCTGATGTGAGAGTGCATGCGAACGGTCGGCAAATGCTGTGTGAACCAGATTGTTCGTAGTTGTGTGCAGCGCAGCGCCAGCTTAGCTGACATTGTCATTGTTGGCGCACTTACTCTATGGTGCACACGCTTTGGTCATGAAAGTGTTCGTGATGCTCATTCCGTTGCTATAACCATTCGGTGTTATATGAATGGTTTCCCCAGCCACCGCAGATGATTTATGGAAACATAAATCCGCATAGGAAACATAACACCGCAGATGAATTTGTGTTTGAATGCTGCACACAAGCGGCCCAACGCGGCTTGTCTGTGAGAGGAAGCCGCAGATTATACGAATTTGTGCTTGAATGCTGCACGCAAGCTGCGCAACGGAGCTTGTCTGTGGGAGGAAGGCCCATCCACACTTTGCCTCAAAGAGAGAGAATGCGGCAAAACTCACTGGAATGGTCAAAATTTCCGGAGCCCTCCACTACGGCGTCTCTCATAATCATATGGTGGTTTTGGGACGTTAAACCCCACATATCAATCAAAACTCACTGGAATTCCGCTCACTTTTGCCCCTAAGTGTCCAGAAAACCGACTCATAATCAGTTTGCTTGATAGTAGATCGATAGCAGATTGCTTTTTTGCTTCACGGCTTCGGCTACGCCGGCTTCACTATCTCTGAAATTATGTGATGTAAATAACCAGTTGCAAATTCACGTGGTGGCAAAGCCCTCAGCGCTAGATCGCGTCGGCGCTATAGCGAACTACCCGTGCAGCACACAAAGGCTCACGGCATTGACAAGGACGCATTCATCGAGAGCCTGGTTTGGATTACAATCGCTGAGAACACCGGAAGTAGAAGAAGGTGCAGCAGCAGCGAGTCAGAATGCCCTAACGCATCTCGCTTTTGCTCTGCCGGCTGAATCAGTAACCGCCTCTGCCAATGCGTCCGCTCGTGTCGTTTCTGCTGGCGTATCTCCCGAAACATCGTTTTTTATGGTGTAAACTGTTTCTTTTTGGCACTTTGCGTGCATAACTAGAACTCGGTACAAATTTTAATGCTCACCAAATTTGCAAAATGGAATGAATAAGCACTAATGGCGATGGTGGCATGCACGAGAGGCAGAGTGGATGTGAGCATTTTCGACGCCCGCGGACGCGATTTTTCGGTTTGCTTGTATTATGCAGTGTGAATTTTCCAGGACTGATTTTTTTTTGTGTCGTCTTTGCAGCGCATTTTTCGACTACTTAAGCGGCGAAGCGAGTGAACTTCAAATGAGTTTTGCCGCTTTCGCTCCCTTTGATGTCAAGTGTGAACGCGCCTAAGTGCCAGCAGTATGAGTGAGGAAACCGTGGCACTTTATTGAAAGACGGTGAAGGCAGGAGAGCTCAAAAAACATCATGGAATTTTTTCAGCAAGGAAGTAGTTGACCCCACTAAAGATCTTGTTCATCTTCATGATCAGCTTTAACTTGTTCTTGGTTCATACGAATTTGAGATGATGCGAATATTTCGCGTGCTCCTTTTGAATTCATATCATCGTGATTATATTGTAGATGGCTTGCTAGTGACCTAGCCGCACTGGTGTACTTTTTCGCTTGCCGTCATCCTGACTCCAGTGCATTTTCAGTGCTTATCAGTAAAGACACTTGCCACTCTGTGCTGCTACAGTCGCTCCTTCAGATTCTTTATTTACATCACCCCATCACAATCTGACATTGTGGCAACGCTGCCATTTGGACTCTGCTATGGTCGCAAATGGATCAACTCATGAAAGGGCTGATTTCCACTTACGAAGTGATAGATGGGGCAGAAGTGGGGGCTTTAGTTAATACTGTGTTGGAGCTGAAAAGTGGGCAGAAAGTCCAAATGATCAGACGGTGGGGATTTCCAGCATCTGAAATTTTAATTGTTTTTATACATTACTATGACGCAGATTAAGAACTCTGGACTCTGAGGGAGCGTGTCCTTGTCTGTCACATGAGTTGGACTTCTACACGGGTTGAAAGAGGAGGAGAGGTTGAAAAAATAGCATTTTTTCCTTGCAGATGTAACTGGTAGTCAACACCGCATTGGTAGCTCCAGATTCTGTAAGTTAGTACAAATTGGGCTCTGTTTCACCTCTTTCTTGATAAGGCAACTAAGGAACACCACCCCTCCAGCACTTCAGGAACCTAGCCAGAAAAACATTTTCATGTTGCTACTATTGCATAAGAATATGCTTAGGGACCCTGTGCAACTTTTTTCTGTAATTGTGCTTCGATGTATATGAAAAATATTTGCATTTGCTTTGCACCTCAAATTTTGCTTTTCACACAGCTCTATCTGTATGTGTTAACCAGTGCCACTCGTAGCCAAGATAGCGAGTGCAGAACATTCGTGCCTGCTGGCATCACGTAGCACACGTTATCTGGAAGTCGTAGGTTCAGTCTATACCATTGGGAAGGTACTTTAAGGTCTTTATTTCAAGTTTCTCGCACTTACATCGTATGTATCACAACACCATTAAAAAACAACAATAACGTCCACTGTACCTTCCTTGGCTTCAATGGCTGGTTTTCGTTAATATTGTATCTAACAAGAAAAAAAAGATGCCTTGGTCAATTCCTCTTCTTTCGATCGCTTCTGCTGGGAACACAGCTCATGTAAGGTATGTTATGGTGGGAGTGTAGAATCACTCGTATTTTTCCTTGCCTGAGTGCAGTACTGGTGTTTGTGCAGTAACTTGTTCCATTTAGGCACACTTAACCAAAGAGAACCTCTGATGATAAAAACATGTACGTAACATCTGCAATGTTTTTCATGCAAAGAAAAGCCACTCTGCACTCCCTCATTATAATTGTTTCTTCTAGGGAACTCACTAGAGCCATAATTATTTTCACTACTGTGTGAATGTTTTTTCTTGCTTCAAAATTGTGTCAAATTCCCATGTTATTTAGCTTGACCTTTGGCCAGAACCAAATTGCTTGCACATTTAATTTGCAAATGCTTTAGTGTCAGGTCACAAGGGTACTTTTCATGCTCTGGATAATAAATAAAGGCAGTTAAGCCAGCCTCTTAAAGGTGGAATTAATTAAATCTGGCTCTCGTAAGGTTTGTGTTTTCTCGTAAGTTTTGTGGTTTTCGTTAGATGCCGCGCTTAGGATAGTACATAAATTCAAGCGAGTATGGGCTTATACCTTTAATAGATCGGTTTCTCTCTTTTTTTTAATATGTTGCCTTATGATTCCTGAATGTTGAATATATTAGCTACCTTCAACCTGAAGTTTGGCCACCCATTTTCCAACAGATCTGTCATTTTCACTTTTCCTAGGAAGCATCGCACGCTTGCCTTGGTGAAGGAAGGCAGAGTCATTGGAGGTATTTGTTTTCGGATGTTTCCGGGGCAAGGCTTCACAGAAATCGTCTTCTGTGCTGTCACTTCCAACGAACAAGTCAAGGTATTCTTTCTGCTTTCACTTACATACACATTGCATTGACGTATTGCATTTGAAGAGGACCAGCATAGTTGGTCCGTGTTTCAGAAATAGCAGTGCCTTGAAAACAGCTTATTATTTGAAGTTCTATAGCATGCAATGCAGGAGGTAACGTTTAGATAATGCTATAATCACTGCAGGTTATACTAAAAATATCTGCCACTGTTTTCGCGCGACGGTGCACATTATTAGACACTCTGCACCTGGTTACTGGAGTTATATCTGCACACTGTGTGTTGTCATGGCTATCTTTAGAATCCGCACTATGTGGCATTGTTCTTTTACAACCATTTTCTTGAGTTAATCCTGTTGACATAGCAGACAAACTAAAGGCCCATGGCTATCAATCGTATCGCATACAACACTGATTCATCAACAGCTCATGCTGTCATCATATTTCAGTTGTTTTCTCGCTGCTCAATTTTCTGGTACCCTGTTGTATGCCATTGGCTAGAAAAGCTGCAATCACTTACTGTAGCGCGCAGCTACCTGCAGCGCATGTCTTATACGCTCTCGGTTGTACAGTGTGGGGCAAGTTGTCATAATGAAAAAATTTGTCATGTGCATTTGTGTGTTTATTCACTGCTTCTAAACAAGCGCTTTGCTTCTAAACAACTGGCTTTGGTCTCGATCTCTGAGATTATCTCTGAGGGGACGACGACAGGTGTTTGCACACACAGATAGGAAGAAAACCAATAGGGCACCCAGCAATGGGCGAAGGGGGGAGGGAGTGAGCCAAGGTGGTTGAAGGGAGTTGGAAAAGTAATCAAAAACTGAAGATATCGAATGGGTGAGGAAGCACCAGTTGTGGGTTAGAGGCACTGCAGAGGAGGAATGTAGAGGGTGTGTTTATTGCAAGGGGAAAAAAATCCACACTATGATGACTGAAGTTGGGGGGGCGTTTTTATGCGAGTGTGTTCATTACGTGAGTGAATATGGTAGTATACAACTACAGAATTGAAGAGGTGTTTGTATCTTGTTTCACTTGTTTTGCTGCATGCATTTCAGTCAATCACTCGGTCAGTATGTTTTTGTTATATGGTGGGTTAATTACAACATTTAAATATACAAATGAGAGTACAATGTGCAAGACTGAAATGGGACCCCAAATTTTGTTTATCCAATGCTAAAAAGAGAATGTGTGCAAATTTTCTGTGCTTCAGCCATAGCACATAGTAACAAAAAAAAAAAAAAAACTACATATTTTCTGCAAGTCTAGCAAATCGACTTCTTATAACAGAAAGACACAATACATGAACTGTGTAATGCAATTTTCGGGAATATATTCATCACGTTTTATGGGGATTAGGTGCTGCTTTTTTATGTGAAGCAGTGAACAGCGACTTCAATTCTAGCTTTATGTGAATGGCAGATCTTCATATGATTGTGTGCTGTCCTTTTTCTGTGTATAGGGTTATGGAACGCATTTGATGAACCACCTCAAGGATTACCACGTCAAGCAGAACATCCTCCACTTCTTGACGTTTGCAGATGAATTTGCAATCGGCTATTTCAAGAAGCAGGTTAGCGTCCACGCCATTGGTGATAGAAATATACTGGAAAAAAAGGGTGATTTGTAATATACACTGTTAGCTTAACCCTTTGACAGTTTTTTTTTCCAGGTGTGTTCCAAAAGTATGTAATTTTTTTATTGCTGAATGAAATTTTTCAGATGAATTAATTAAAAAAATATTGTCTAAAATGTTTTTTGGTGACCATAAAGTGACAAAATATTATTTGTGTTGTTACATACAAATGCTTTATTCATGAGTAACAGCAAGCAAAACCCTAGAACTAAAGCAAAACCCTAAAAAAGTGCTTGTGTGTTTTTTAAAAAGTAAAAGGTATGCATTGTAATAAACATAGCTCAGCAGACAAAGAAAAATAAGTACACCAGAGTACTTTTTGGGTAAAAAAATTTCTTGCTATAACATTCTAAAAGCTTTTCAGCATGTGATAGTCTTTGAAGCATGGATCCACACAAAGTGGTCTGTTGCACTCAACGTACGTTGAGCATTTCTTTGCTGTCGCCGAGCGGTGGTGCCACAGGCATTGTCTCTGGATCTTGCTTGCCTTACTATCGGTGGGTGCCAGCTTCTCTATGAAGGGTCTGTTGCGCACTTCCATAGTGTAAGTGAACTGCGGATCTCACAGAAAAAAACTGCATGGTTGTGCACCCGTCTAAAAACAAAATGAGTGAGAAAGCTGTAACCCTTCATCTTGTCTCCAACGGGAGGGGGTCAGTTTTTCCATGTTACTAGAACTGGAAATTTAGTGTCGCATGGAAACAGATGTAATCACATTCTGGGCAGCAACAAATGAGAGAGGAAAAAGCAGTTGATTTTTGAGAGATTACAAACCAGACAGCCATCAGCTTTGTGGGCGTGAAAAGTGATAATTGCCCGAAGGACCAAACCGAAACCACCCTCGCCGTACGCTCGCATGCTTGGATACGCAAGTGAAAGCCTGCGCGTCGCTGTGAAAAGAAAAACGAAAACAAAAAGAAAACAAAAGAAACAAGAAAAAGAAACAAAAAGACGCCTCAGCGCATGAAAAAAATTCACGTTTTTCCAAAGTGAGGCAGCACGTTCCGAAAGAGAGAAATGACAGAAAAAAGTGCATGTTCTTGACATACATACAATCACGAACATGTACGTCTGTGACTGTCAAAGGGTTAGTGTTGTATTATAAATTGTGCGCTACTTTACATATTTGTCATTCATTATGTGCACATTTTGACCATTGCCTCAATCTTGTATTGATTTTTTTTCTTATAAATCTCAAGGGGGGTATAACATAAGCAGTGAGTTCTTGCACAAAGTAGCATAGTGGTCACAGCCATTAATGTGAAGTTACATTTCATAAACCATGCGTGGAGCTTGATGGGCAGGTAATAGTGGCGGTGTTGTGTGAAATACTGTTCTAGAATTCCGCTTCTTTGCGAAAAAAAAAAAGGAAGCAGAAAATGTTTTGGATGATTTGGATGGGGATGAGAAACTTGTAGTGCCACGACCAGTGCAATGAACTACGTGTCTCTGATAATTTGCAACAATGTTTTGCATGTAGAATGGCTTATGGGTAATGTAGTTGCTTACATTTACAGCAGGGCACTTCACATTCAGTGGACCCCTCTAGTGTTTCTTAAACAAAATTTTGTTTGTTTCTGTGTATGTTCCTGTACGCCAAGGAGGCACTGTGTGCTTTGTAGGTCAGCAACGCTAGCTGTAGGGAGTCAGCTTTGTAATTCCATCGGCATGTGTCCTTGCTTCCCTTGCTCTCAGGGTTTCTCCAAAGACATCAAGCTGCCCAAATCTGTGTACACGGGGTACATCAAGGACTACGAGGGGGCCACACTTATGGGTTGCGAGTTGGATGAGCGCATATCCTACACAGCCTTCAGCCACGTTATTCGCAAGCAGAAGGAGGTAGGACACTTTAATGTTTGACCGGTGCTGCCTTTAAAATGCTTTCAACATTTTCCCCTATTAGATCATGCCATCGCTTTCATAATAACTTTACCCATTTTGAAGTCTTTAAAAGGTGCCATTGTACGTTACAAGTGAGTTTTAAAGGGAGATGCTACTCGAAGACATCTTTTTTTTTTAATATTCACCCTACAGCAATGAAACTTGAGCTGTTTATGGAAGTTAGTATTGTCACGGGGTCGTGACGTGGCCGAAGACAGGAGACTTCGTGTTAGGATTGAACTGTTTATTTGGGCGAACCTGTGCCCGGTAAACTGAAAGTCCAATTACAGCAGCAGTCTCGCACAGATAGCAGTCTCGGACTGATAGCGGCGAACGGAGCGTCGGCCTTCGATCAACAACTGACAAGCGGCGAAGCGCGTCGGCATTTATACTCTTGCCGTCGAATGTTCTAGCGTTATCGCTGGCGGTGGCGTAGCTTCCAGAACAATCTGTACCGTTCGCACAGTGGGCGTGATCTTATCGAAATGATCTACTACAGTCCGGAACCTTCTAGAAAACTGCAGGCGCGGTTTGCGCTGAGAATCGTGCGGTGTTTTCGGACGATAATAAAAACTTTGGAAATGGAACGTGGCATTGCCCCCCTCTGAAAAAAGGCATCGTCCCGATGCTTTAACTAAAGATGAAAGTACAATAATAATGCAAGAAAGTACAATGAATAAATTACGATACAACAATAATACAAAAAAAAAACACTAGTTAAGTTTGTTAACGCGCATGAAACGGCTTGAGGCGCGCGACATGGACGACTTCAGGTCGCGATCGGCGTCGTTGAGAGTTCGTGATGCCGTCGGGGACAACCTCGTAATCAAGTGGGCCGAGCCGTCGAACCACCCTGTACGGTCCGAAGTACCGTCGCAGAAGCTTTTCACTTAGTCCACGTCGGCGTATCGGCGTCCACACGCAAACACGTTCACCGGGCTGGTATTCCACGAAGCGTCGTCGAAGGTTGTAACGGTGGCTGTCGGTCGTCTGTTGATTCTTGATACGGAGACGCGCAAGTTGTCGGGCTTCTTCGGCGCGTTGAAGGTACTCGCTCACATCGAGGTTTTCTTCGTCGGTGACGTTGGGTAACATGGCATCGAACGTCGTTGCCGGGCTCCTTCCGTAGACCAATTTGTATGGCGATATCTGCGTCGTCTCCTGCACTGCCGTGTTGTATGCGAAGGTCACATACGGAAGAATGGCGTCCCACGTCTTGTGTTCGACATCGACGTACATTGACAGCATGTCGGCGATCGTCTTGTTAAGCCGCTCGGTGAGGCCGTTGGTCTGTGGGTGGTATGCTGTCGTCCGGCGGTGGTTTGCTTGGCTGTATGCCAAGATTGCTTGAGTTAAGTCGGCAGTGAATGCCGTTCCTCTGTCGGTGATAAGGACCTCTGGGGCGCCGTGACGTAGGACGATATTTTCGACGAAGAATTTAGCTACTTCGGATGCACTGCCTTTTGGCAGGGCTTTTGTTTCGGCGTAGCGGGTGAGGTAGTCGGTAGCTACCACGATCCACTTGTTTCCGAAAGCCGACGTCGGGAACGGCCCCAGTAGGTCCATACCAATCTGCTGGAAAGGTCGGCAAGGTGGATCAATTGGCTGCAGAAGTCCCGCTGGCCTTGTCGGCGGTGTCTTGCGTCGTTGACAGTCCCGGCATGTTCTCACATAACGAGTGACGTCGGTGGTAAGACGTGGCCAGTAATACCTTTCTTGTATCCTCGCGAGCGTGCGAGAAACACCGAGGTGCCCTGCCGTCGGATCGTCGTGAAGGGCCTGCAGGAGTTCTGGTCGCAGAGCTGAAGGCACCACAAGAAGGTACCTAGCTCGAAGCGGTGAAAAGTTTTTCTTTTGTAGAAGACCGTTTCGTAGAAAGAACGACGCAAGTGCGCGCTTGAATATCTTCGGGACTTCGGCGGTCCTGCCTTCGAGGTATTCTATTAGGGCCTTAAGTTCCGGGTCGGCCCTCTGTCGTTCAGCGAAGTCGTCGGTAGTTATCGTTCCTAAGAAGTAGTCGTCATCCGGGTCGTCGGGTAGCGGTTGGTCGACAGGCGCACGAGAGAGACAGTCGGCGTCGGAGTGTTTTTTGCCGGACTTGTAAATGACAGTAATGTCATATTCTTGAAGTCTCAGGCTCCATCGTGCGAGGCGACCTGAGGGGTCCTTCAAGGTGGCTAGCCAACACAATGCGTGGTGGTCGCTCACAACTTTGAAGGGCCTGCCGTAGAGGTAGGGGCGAAATTTCGAGGTAGCCCAGATGATGGCAAGGCACTCCTTTTCTGTTGTGGAATAATTTGCTTCTGCTTTGGATAGCGATCGGCTAGCGTAACTAATAACCCTTTCAAGTCCGTCAGCCCTCTGCACAAGAACGGCGCCAAGACCTACGCTGCTTGCGTCAGTATGTATTTCTGTCTCGGCGAATTCGTCGAAATGGGCAAGTAACGGAGGCGTCTGGAGGCGATGTTTAAGCTCCTGGAAAGCGTGTTCCTGCGGCGTTCCCCACTTAAACTCCACGTCGGCCTTGGTAAGGTTAGTGAGAGGATCGGCGATGCGGGCGAAGTTTTTCACGAACCGCCTATAATAGGCACACAGGCCCAGAAATCGGCGCACGGCTTTCTTGTCAGTGGGCGGCGGGAAGTCGGCGATGGCGGCTGTTTTCCGTGGATCGGGACGAACTCCAGACTTGCTGATAACGTGCCCCAGAAACAAGAGCTCCTCATACGCAAATCTGCACTTTTGTGGCTTCAGTGTGAGTCCGGAAGTCTTGATGGCTTGAAGTACAGCTTCAAGGCGCCGAAGATGCTCGTCGAAACTCGAGGAAAACACGACGACGTCGTCCAAGTACACAAGGCAAGTCTGCCACTTCAATCCTGCCAGTACTGTATCCATAACGCGTTGAAACGTTGCAGGCGCTGAGCAAAGGCCGAAGGGCATCACCTTAAACTCGAAGAGGCCGTCCGGTGTTATGAACGCCGTCTTCTCTCGGTCTCTTTCGTCGACTTCGATTTGCCAATAGCCAGTCTTAAGGTCCATTGACGAAAAGTACTTGGCGTTATGGAGCCGATCAAGTGCGTCGTCTATTCGTGGGAGGGGATACACGTCCTTTTCGTGATTTTGTTCAGGCGGCGATAATCGACGCAGAAACGTAGGGTCCCATCCTTTTTCTTCACTAACACCACGGGGGATGCCCATGGACTTTTGGACGGCTGGATAATGTCATCCCGCAGCATTTCATCAACTTGTCTCTTCATGGCCTCACGTTCTCGCGTCGAAACCCTGTACGGACTCTGACGGAGTGGTCTGGCATTTTCTTCGGTTATAATGCGATGTTTCGTGATTGGGGTCTGCCGAATTTTCGATGACGACGAAAAGCAATCTTCGTATTGCAGGAGCAGGGCCTTGAGCTGTTCTTGCTTATCGTTCGGAAGTCTGGGATTGACGTCGAAAGATATGGGAGGGGCTTGGTGCCTCTGAGCAGGTTCCGCAGAATCGGCGAGGGCGAAAGCACTGGTGGCTTCGACAATTTCTTCGATGTATGCGACCGTTGTTCCTTTGTTCACATGTTTGTACTCATTGCTGAAATTCGTGAGCAAAACCGTTGCTTTGCCTCCCCGCAGCTCTGCGATTCCTCTTGCGACGCAAATATTTCGGGTGGCCAACAGATGCTGACTGCCTTCAACGACGCCTTCCAAGTCAGGTGATTTAGGAGCGCCGACTGAAATAATGACGCTTGAGCGAGGCGGAATAGTGACTTGTTCTTCCAGCACATTCAAGGCATGGTGTCCTGACGGCGTGCGCGGCGGTAGTGCTTCTTCTGTGGATAACGTTATCGACTTTGTTTTTAGGTTGATGACAGCACCATGGAGGCATAATAAGTCCATGCCAAGGATGACATCTCTCGAGCAACGCTGTAGGACCACGAAGTCTGTAGGATAAATACGGCCGTTAATGGTGACTCTCGCTGTGCAGATTCCTGCAGGCGTTACGAGATGACCTCCGGCTGTGCGGATTTCAGGGCCTTTCCAAGCTGTCCTAACTTTCTTTAACTTCGCGGCGAACGACCCACTGATGACAGAATAGTCGGCTACAGTATCGACGAGAGCGGTCACACTGTGGCCGTCGATAAGAACGTCGAGGTTGCTAGTTCGCCGTCTCGCATTACAGTTAGGGCGTGGCGTCGGGTCACGGCTGCGTCGGCTTGTTCCGCTGCTTCCATGTTGCGTCGTCAGGCCACCTTCAGTAAGTGAGCTTTCGCCGTCAGGGCTTTGCCTGGTTGGCGTTGTGTTCGGAAAGCTTCGTCGCGGCGTCGTCGTCGTCGGAGGATCTTCAGTAGTTCATCGCACAGCAACCGCACCTCCACCGGTTTCTGCCCTTAGTTTCCCGGATACGGGCTAGGAGACCGGCCCCGCGTTGGGCCAGAGTATTGTCGGTGGTGCGGTGACGTGCGGCGGCTGGGCGACGGCGAACGCGAAGGGCTTCGTGGTGTCCACCGAGTTCCTGTCAGGTAGTCGGCGATGTCACGTGGTCGTTCTCCTGGCTGCGGACGTGGTGCATCGACGGCGAAGCCACGCAGTCCCATCTGTCGGTACTGGCAACGGCGGTAAGTGTGCCCGGCCTCGCCGCAGTGGTAGCACAGTGGGCGGTGGTCAGGGGTGCGCCAAACGTCGGTTTTCCTCGGCGCACTGCGCTGGCCCGCTGGTGAACGGTAGGTTGTCGGTGGGGGTGGTGGCGGCGGTGGTGTCTGGCGACGGAAGTGCGACGGGGCGGCGTTTTGGCGTGGACGGGGAGGGGCGTTGTGGCGCACTGCAGCGGCGTAGCTCATAGTTTCTGGCTCGGGCAGCGGTGTATGGGGAATTCGAAGTGATTGCCGAACTTCTTCTCGCACAATGTCGGCAATCGAATCCACTTGAGGTTGCGCCGAAGGCAACAGTTTGCGCAGCTCTTCCCGCACGATC